TTGCAGTACAGTGGATGAGTCCCTGGTGTGATGTGATCCTTCCATTCCTTGTTATATGATATGGGTTGTTTATCATGTCTGGGACGAGTGATCGGTAGCCAGTTTTGGGCATGGACTTGTTTTTATCGGTCCCCACCAGAGAATCAGAGGTGCAGTGAGCTATCGGGGTTTATTATTCGAGGAGCAAATAACGAGGTGACACCTGAAGAGAGCGGTTTGGCTATGTATCGAGATACTAGAGTTTCCAGACTCTTGAGAGTCAGGAGGGGTAGCGTAGTGGCAGTGAGTCTGTCCTTTTCCAGGGAGGAGTTCCTGTTGGATTCAGGTGCCCAGAGAGAAAGATAGTTGTGTGGTATGAGATCCTTTCGATGGTGCTGTTCGATTATTGGATTAGATCTATATGTTGTTGAGAAGCGATTTCGAGGGCGAAATCTAATTCAAGTGGGGGAGAATTGTAACATCCGGATTTTCAGGGACATTATTGTGTATGTTAATCTTGAGATTTAAGGAGGGACTCGACGAGTTGAGGGACCAACTCGCCGAGTCGAGTCGAGATTGCCGCGTGGATTTAATGAATGGACTCGACGAGTCAGAGGAGGGACTCTCTGAGTAGGTGCTGGGCAGAGAAACCCTAATTTCCCGGGTTTGGGACCTATTTAAAGGCATTTATATCCTCATTTGCGGCTACCTTCCCCTGAGAGAAAACCCTATTTGCTATTGGAGCTAGAGAGTGAGAGAGAAGCTCATATTGTGGTTATTGGTGCATTTCTATGAAGAAGGATGAAGAGCTTCATGATGGGGAACAAAGGAAGGCAGTGGATCTGTGGTATTGAGTGTTTCAGCTGCTAAGAGAAGGTACAAAGTCCTCATCTTGTTCATTCCTTGTACTAGATCTCAATTTGGGAGTTTTAGGGCTTTGCTTCCATCCTTTTGAATCTATGAGTCGAATGAGACCTGGTTGTGGTTGGAAACCTCAGATCTGGACCTCTTAAGGTCCTTAGAGTCTAGATGTCTCAGCTTTAGTGGTCCAAATGAGGGTTGATGAGCAAAAACCTTCATGAAGAGCATGTATTAGCGTTTTGAAGCAATAGCATCATGTATGAACGTAAAGATTGAAGCTTTACGTAATTATTGAGCCTTGGGATGATAGATCTATAGTTTAGAGTGATAGATCTGGTTGAAATCGTCTGAATGAGAAATCAGATCAAAGGGACTCACCGAGTCCATGACCCGACTCGACGAGTCGGCGAGGGTTTGTCCCGATGGATTGATTGTGCGATAACTCGACGAGTTGGGGGTCAACTCGACGAGTTGAGTTGGACTTTTGAGACTTCTGAGGATACGAGGGGACTCGACGAGTCACAGGAGTGCACTCGACGAGTCGGGTCAACTTGGACTGTTGACTCGAGTTTGACTTTTGTTGACCTTGGGGTTTTGGTCAACATATGTGATAGAGACCTTGGAGGGATAAAATGGTCTTTTACCCACTTTAATGAGTTAGAAAGAGAAAGAATCGCCTTCGATTATCTGAGTCGTGAGAAGAATATTAATAAGAGATATTCATCCTTTGTGTTAGGGGGAGGCTAGTTCGAGATCTGAGCGCGAGGTTATTTGCTTACCTGCTAGCCGAGGTGAGTCTTCTCACTATACATTACCTAGAGTGGTAACTATGTGCAGACCGGAGGGTCTTATGTGTTAATTCGCACAAACTGCAGGGACTTGAAATCCGCAAAGTAACACCGGCTTCAGTCTCCAACGAGCTAGCGCGATCAAGACCAAACTCCCCCTCGAAGTAACACCGGTCTTCAAATCCGCAAATGAATATCCGACAAACCCGCTTCAAATACCCATCATTCTCCCCTTTTTATAATAAAAAAATGATTATAAAACCCATTAAGGGTGAGAAGCGCCCGAGAAATGAACTTCACAATACTCCCCCTTGATGTGTACCAAAAATGAATCACCAAAAATCTTGCACGGAAAACAATCACGAAAAAGCCTAAAAAAATTTCCAATTTGTGAATTTTTTTGACTTTTTGGGTGAAAGTTGCAAGATTTTCCAAAATTCGGGTAAAAACTGTTACTTTCTGAATTCTGCAGGGACCTGTTGCTCCAAAAACAACCAAATATGCGAAATTCTCCCCCATTTGCGAAACTGGGTAGAAAATGTTAATTCGCACAAACTGCAGGGACTTGAAATGTACATTCTTCAAATTCTCATAAAATCAGCCCATTTTCGAATTTGGGTACGGTCAGCCAAATTTTCGAAACTTCAGGTACTAATTTCGAAACTTCTGTACACTTCTTCAAACTTTCGAAAGTTTAGTCCTTATTTCTTCGAAAGTGGGTGCAAACTATCAATCTTTCGAAAGTTCAAGTACAATTTTTGAAATTTCTGCCTTATTTCTTCCAATATGTCGAAAATTACCCCAAATTTCAAAGGTGGGTAAAAGCTGTCAAGCTTTTGAAACTTTAAGGTCCAATTTCGAAAGTTTTGTGTTTCTTCCTTCCCAAATCGTGAACCAGATTTTCGAAAGTTGTTAACCCAAAATCTTCGACATGGACTGGCAAGCCTTCGCTTTTTAACACCAATGACTCCTTTGCAACGACGTCAAAATCTTTGACTATCAAAAGATAACTCAAACTTTCGAAATATCAATACATGAACCCTTCTCACTTTAACATGCTACCATCGACTTTTGTTGTTAGTGATCAAACCAAAACATCAACTTCCCAACATCGTCCAAAAACAAACTTTCGTTACTCAACAATCAGGGCTGGTCCAGACGGTGGGCAACCCGGGCGGCCGCCCAGGGCCCACGTCTCCAGGGGGCCCAAAATTTATGGGCTATGTAGTGCATACATAAAAAAAATTATTACCTAAATGATTTTTAGGGCTTAAAGTTGGTTCAAACTCAAACTAGCTCAAAAGATAAACAATTTGGTTTGCTTGGTATTGCTAATTGAACGCATTTATAGTGAAGATAAATGATATTTTTTTAACCTTTAATATATTTGAGTTTAAAGGTTTTTTTTTTTTTCGACAGGGACGTTTGGACTAGGGGTGTTCAAAACCGGATATCCGAAAATTCGGATATCCGAATTTCGGATAGTTGATGATTGTATCCGAATCCGTATCCGAATTTTCGGATATCCGAATTTTCGGATACGGATTCGGATACCAAACTGGATATCCGAAAATCATGTATTTCATTATTAAATATTCATAAGTTAAAAAATTTTAACCAATAAAACATAGTTGTAATTTACGTAAACAATATAAAATGATAACAAATTTAACAGAACAACGACAAACAAGTTACATAATATAGATACTAGTTTTTACGTATAAACGATAGATTGGTTGTTTAAACACATATTAAACAAATAAAATAAGATTACAATTCACTTTATTAAATTAATCAATTTGTAAAACTGTTTGTGTACATTGAAATTAAATATACCCTTAAAAATTCACCGCAACAATCTTAAAATGAGTAATAAACATAGGCAAGAACTATGTTAAAAGTAATATTTAGTTAGTGGTTTTGAATTATAAGCCAACCAACCTGGAGTACAACAAACAAATATATAGCGATTGTAAATGTCAATGTTTGCAACATCGATTTAAAAGTTTGGAAAGAATGGTGATGAAAGGGTTGAAAATGATGGGGTAAAATAAGTCCAGTAACAATGTCAACGTTTCTTATTTCTTATTTTAAAATATTACAAATAAAGAAAAATTATTTTTTTTCGGATATATCGGATATCAGAAATATCCGAAAGTTTATATAATCAATATCCGTATCCGAATCCGAAAAATCGGATATCCGAATTTCGGATATCCGAAAATCCGGATATCCGAAATTTCGGATAATTTCGGATCGGATTTTCGGAATCAACATCAATTCGTTCCAAAATCAATTCTTCGTTTTTCAGTCGATAATCATCAACATCTATTCCAATTGACTTTCACAGTGACTCGATATCGACTCCAAACGCTTCAATTCGTTAACAATCAATCCATTTGCATCGACCTTTCTCAGTTCGTCCCTAATCAATCGACATCAAAATAACGAACAATTCAATCACTGTACGTTTTCAACCATTCCATCTTTAACCCAAGCATCGATATCAAAATCTAACTCAAGACTTCGCTTTTCATTCACCCCAAACTCATCAACCATTGACCATCGGAATCAAAACAAATTCACTTATCAATCGATTGTCGATCCTTCGTCTTTCATTCACCAATAATTTTCGATCACAAACCAGTGAACCTTGATTTCTACTGTTCGTCAATCGACTCCAAAATTCCACAGTGAATGATGTCTGACCTCCAAATCGTCAACAGTCAATCCATCTGTTCTTCCCCAAACCATCGACTGTGAACCAATGAACTACCTTCGCTCTTATCAAACTCAAATACCACCAATCAAAGCGTATCTTCTCATTTCAAAATCAAAATCAATTAACCCTTCAAAATCGATCCTTCCTGTAGATTCGAAATCAATAGAACACAGTTTGACTTCAAAAAGTCAACTCAAATCAATTTCCTCAATCCGTTTCCAAACCATCGATTCCAAATATACAATTGACATACAAACTGACTTCTTAATTCCAAATCAAACCAGTCGACTTCAAGACATTCGACTCCAATGTTACATCCATTCCAAGTCAACTTTAACTATTCCTTTGTCGATTCAAGCTTCATGAACCATCATCGATTCCATACCTACTTGGCATGAAATCTCAAATTAAGAATATCAATCGAAACTGATTTTGAATACAATGTTCGACTCCAATCAAGCAATAGAAATCCAGTTTCAATTTCGATTTTAAGAGATGAAAATTAAACATCGATGATTTTGAAGGAGAATGTACAATAGTTCTGAGACTTCGAACACTTGATAAAGGAATAGATTTATGAATAGTATTCGAACTAGGGAAGAATCCCGCCCTGCGGGTGTTGGAGTTGCGGGGGTTGGAGGGTATTTCATAGTCATTTATTTAAAAACAGGAAATAGCAACAAACTTTACAATGCTTTACTTTTCTTACCAAAGTTAGGACAACTTAATAAACATTTTACACAACATATCCTACTCCATTTCTTCCTGTTACAACATTATACTTCACAATATCATCCAAATAATGTTTTAATAAGAAATTGTAAATGAACGAAAATTGAACTATGTTTGCTAAGGTTCTTGTGTCAAAAGCATACTGAGATGCTGATACTCTTGTTCCAACTCCACTTCCATTCAACTCATTCCCTTCAAAAAAAAATTCAACAATTTAAAACCATTTTCAATAATAAAATTCATAGTGTGTACTCTAATTGAATTCAAAAAGCCGATTAGGGACTAAATGAGTCAAAAGGTGAAAGTTTGTTGCTGAACTGATACCTTTGTTTCAGATTGGAAGTCATTCCGGGTCTCTTGAATTACTTCTGATCTCTTTGAAAATATGAAAAGTAAATAAATAAATAAATATTAAATACCTTCAGGAACTTCAGTATTAGTTGCAAGGCGTTTCCACTGTATAGACACTGATAATAAAACACAATAACCCAACACACCATAAAAAATATAACAAAAAAACATAAACTAATTTTTTTTTAATATTATGTGAAAATCAGAAAATGATCTACTCACCCCTGTCTAAAACAACACAGTCATTGTAGTAAACATCATAGCGACTCAACCAACCACCGGTTCCATGGCCTCCAAACATGAAAAGCTGGAAAAGATATAATTTTTAAAAAAATAATAATAATAATGTTAATAAAAGTTGAAATTTGAAGAAAAGGAGACTAACATAGTGGCCTCCAGAGGTGACAGTATGACCGCATCGGGTACCTCCTCAGTGGGTTCCAACAAAGAAACGGTTCTATGTTAATGATGTCTTCAGGAGCAGAAGACACAAATCTGATGCCTTAAACAGCAGTCACTGCTTATGCTCTGAAAGTGGCTACATCATTTGTTGCCCAAATGTTTGTTGAAGAAGTGAAGAGCGTTCTTCCACCACCAACGTTTACAGGTCTTTTCATCATACACAGACATAGAGATGTTGGTAGTTTTATCAGTTTCATCATGGAGACAGAGATTTGTGAGGGTTTTAACAGTTTCATCAAGGATATTGCTTCACTCAGCTGGAAATACAAACTTTGTTGTTGAAGATGCTTCCGAGTCCGCTTTCTCCTCTGCACATTTAGATTCGATTCATTAGCATTAGCAACTCCTAATCTTCAGATTGAATCGAATATATGATTTGATTCTTTACCTATATGTTTACAGCTACTTTAGTTTCAATAACTTTAAAGGGCAAATACCCAGGAAGCTTGCTACTCTTCCACAAATTCTGCATCTTCATCTGCAAGATAAACCCTCAAAATTAAGAAAACTGATTTTTTTTTATTTGGGTATTTGGTTTAGTCAGGCATTTAGACAAACAGGTGGTGGGCATGAATAGAAAGACAGATGAAATCCTCGTCATTCGTGTTGGATTGATTCCAAATCACGAAAAGAGGATCGTACATCAGTTTGAAATTGCTATATTTCTCGATGATTAGAAACAAATGAAACAATTTTGGTTACAGACGACCTAATTTCACGATCATTCTGTTCAGACTGTAGTTAGTACTGTAACTTACCTTGGCGAAGTACCGATTAGGATGAGCTTGGAAAAGAGATGAGGACGGCGAATAGAGGCGAGAATACCGATCATAGCGCGATGACGGCGAGAGGGTGTTCGATGGGAACGCTGTGTAGTGGCAAAGGAGATGTAGAACATAAGATCAGAGAGGTGAAGAACGAACTCCCTGGTGGGTGAAGAATCTGAGATGAAAAGCCGGTGGAGAAGAACCCAGATAAGAAGAGGCGGTGGGTTATCTGTTGCCCGTATTTCATTGGAAGAAGTGGGAGGTGGCCACCACGTGTAAAACGACGTTCTAAAACAAAAGCATGTGTAAAGGACATCGGGAAAAAAGTATTAAAGATAACATATTATTTTTTTTTTAAAATCAGGGAACAAATAACTGTTCATCATGTAGTTTAGTATATATATAAATGGGATATAAATTAGTTGATTGGACTCAAAATAATAAGAACAGTATTGGATATTTGGATTCATTATCACAGATTGGGCTTCGAAAATTAACATGAACAGTACTTGAAATTTTATTTAGAACTCAAAAAGTATGAATCAACGATATGGGCTTTAATCAGATTGGGCTTGAACAAATAGTAATCAGATCAAAAAATTTGGGTTTTCAGTGAACAATAATTTTCGTGATTAGGGCTTGATCTATTGAAAATTTATATTGGATCATTAATAAGGTTGAAACGGATTGATCCAATGAGACAAATCGATCAAAAATGAAAAACGTAAAATACGACTCGAAATCATGGATGTTTTGGAATCCATTTGAGAATTTGAGATACCTTTTTGACGAATCGAGTTCCATTTTCAACGAACGAATCAAATTTAGAAGATCTTGGTTCTTTTGTTGGAATGAAAAAATCTCCAATTTGAACATTGTACCACCCACGATGCGTGTTGTACAACTCGTTCTTCGTGTTCTTCATCGATCCAAGAACATTTTCAAAAGAACCACCAACACTTTTGGGTTTTGACTTCAAATTCAATGCAACATTTGGAGATTGTTTCTTTGGAACCCAAATTTGTTTCACGGATTTCGGCTTCACAACATTTGACGATTTTTGAGAATAAATCCACTTGTTCTTCCGTTTAATCTTCTTCTTCTTTTTCTTTCTCATCTTTTTGCATCTTGAAGATTTGATTTCAAGAACACCTTCATTATTTACAACTTCAACTTTGCAAGTTTGAATCAAATCTTTTGGAATTTGATACTTGTGAATTTCTTGGATCACCGGCTTCCGATAAGGAATCATTCCTTCAAACGAATCACAAGAACACACAATATCATCTGTTTGAACTCCAATTGAGCAAAAAACTTTTTCATCTTCATGAGAATCAACTTGAATCTTCTTATCATGAACCTCAAGAACATCAAGAACATCTTCAACAAACTTAAGAGCATGAAGATCACTTGGGTTTTCAACAAGAGAAATGTATCTTTTATTAAACAAATCTCTTTCATCTCCTTCTTTTCGGTTATCACTACGAACTAACATCATTATGGAAAGATCATACAAGCATTCAATCTTCGAAAGTGGTTAAAATACCAATCTTCCATGAACATCCTTCAAACCTCCATAAGAAACCATAGAATCCCATGAAATCAACTCACTTAACAATAACCCATAAAATTGATATTCGTTGACCTTGTATTTCACACCTTCAATGATTACAACCCAAGAATCATACTCCAAACGCACCATGATCACAAAATCTTGAAGATTTCTAGAGAGAGAAAGTGATTTTGAATGGGTTTTCTAGAGAGATAAAGTAAAAATCACATGAATTCTAGTGAAGAAAATCGAATTTTGAATAGAATCAAAGATGAATTCGATTTCTAGAATCCAAAAACTCTCTAAATCACGAAGATCAAAGATCAAAAAATGAATCACCAAATCAAGAATGCCACCATGGATCAATTCTTGATCAAATCAAGAACACCCGCTCTGATACCAATTGTAGTGATGTTGATTATCATGGCATGTGCGGAATTAGAAAAGATCTAGTGAATCATCATGTAAACTCAAGAACACAAGGAGTAAATAAATTTGTGTAAGCTCATATTAGATCTAGAAAGGATATACAAATGGGTTTGTACAAATTTCTCTCTCTAGTCTAACACTCTAAAATGATCATTCTAAATATGAGTGTCACTCACTTCCTATTTATAGGAAAGACAACTCATTTACACATCAATAAGGGTAAGCCACATCCAAGCGTGACTTTGCACCCTAACACATAATGAAAGTCACGATTCCACTCCCTTAGATTGTTTTTAAGAGTTTGAAGTTTTTTCTTAAAACAACCCACTGCTCATCTACATCCTGAATCTGTTGGCTCCAAGTATTTTTAACAATATCTTCAAAACCTTCCAAAGAGAACGAAGAATGGAAAATACGGAAAGGGTAAAGGCCATAATCCACCACATGCTCCAAAAGGAGAATGGGGCGATGATCTGGAATCTTCTTGTCAAGAATAAGCCATGTCAAATGAGGAAAAGCATCCAAAAAAACCCTAGAAACAAGAAACCGTTCTATTTTACTAAGTTTAGATCCTGAAGGATTGGACCAAGTAAACCGAGAACCTCCAAGGGGAACCTCAATAAGATCCGCATCAAGAATAAACTGATTGAAATAATGAGCGGAAGACACACAAAACTGGGAACCAAGTCTCTCCGAAGCATCCCAAACCTCATTAAAATCAGCCATGAGAATAACTTCTGCTTATGTGGCATTAATCAAGAGCAAAATAGTGGACCTAACATGTTTCTTATCATTAATATCTTGAGGAGCATAAACCCTAATAATCAGAACCTCTAGACCCATAGGAACCTACACCGCATCAACCGCAACAAAATAGTCATGAGAAAATGCCCTCTTCTTACAAAAAAAAATGGAAGGATCAAAAATGACTAGAATACCTCCAGAAAGACCGCGAGAATAAGAACATTCAAATTGAAAAGAAGAATTGCCCCAAAAATCTCTAATCGTCGCCATATCCATTGACTCGAACTTTGTTTCTTGAATTCCCAAAAAATTAACCCTATGTTTATTACATAAATTTTTGATCCAAGGCCTTTTATCGCGATTTCCTGCCCCTTGAACATTAATTGAGAGACAATTCATGGGTCCACCTTTTTTTCTCCATTCCAATCTAACATTGCTTGTAGAAGCTTTTCACAACCCACCATCGAACAGCCCAAGAATTTACCCATTTCAATTGTTTTTGAAACTTCATCTGCAGCTAAATTTTCTAAACATACACCATTAGGCATAAAAGCAGAATCAGCGTGTCTAGAATCCAAGAAGGAATGGTGATTAGATTTAGAAAAACATCTTTGGATCCAATAGAGTGGGCTGCAATACAACTCGACGGATGTGCGAGAGACATCGAATCTGAAACAGATTCCATGCCCGACTTTAAGGTATTTTCGCTAAACAGATGGTCAGCCACCTCCTCCTTGGCCCTATTGACAATAGGGGCTGTCATAACAATGCCGACATAAGCCTGCTGCGATACCCCCACCTGTTGTAACAATTGGTAAAAATCGACCAAGAAGTTTCCGGTCAACTACCATGGAAATAATTGTAATAAAAACTATTATACGTTTACCGGTATTCTAAGGAACAACTTAAGTCGTTATTTTAAATATTTGCGATTTAGTCCATTTATGCCTAGGTTTGGACCTAATAATTGATTTCAAGCTTTATGATGTCTTTAACATAAAACAAAATCAAACAAATGGAAAAGATTGTGTTAGAGTCCTTTTTTTTAATTTTGAAATTAAATACAAATTTTAGCCAAATCAATGTTTTTATATTTATTTGTTAATATAATCGCAACTAAAATAATCATCTTATTGCTAACTGATGCGACATCGGCTCCAACCACCTTCGCTGAGGATGTGCTTCTACGCCGGAGACGAATCTGCGAGGTCACAACAGACAAGGCCGTTAGAGCCGCCCCAGAGACTGTGCCCGGAAGCGTGCTCCGACGGTCAAGTTAGATCATTCTGAAGATATGAGATGGCTCTCTTTAGCTAGAGAGAACCATCTTGGTATTGGTGGTGGTGTATGGTGTCTGACGGCGGCGGGTGGCGGCTGAGCCACCCGGCCGAAGTATAGTGTGGCGGCTGAGCCCCGGGGAAGATCCCCCTCCATGGAGGAGATAATATTCATTATATAGGGTACAATTAGGTCAAATGGAATTAGGTCAGGCCTTGGGCCAGCCCAATTCAGGCCCAGCTAGCAAGGAGCTGGGTGAGGCCGCACGGAGGCGCCGGGTGAGGCTGGCGGGCGCGCACCAGGCAAGGCTGGCGGGCGCGCACCAGGAAAGGCTGGCAAGGGAGTGGCTGGCAAGGGAGCGCCAGGCCGGGCCGGCGGGAGAGTCCCCAACAAGGCTGGCAAGGGAGTCCCCAGCAAGGCAGGCATGGGAGAGCCAGGCCAGGGAGCTCCAGGCCGGGCCGGCGAGAGAACTCCAGCAAGGCTAGCAAGGGAGAGTCAGGCAGGGCTGACGGGAGCGCATCAGGCAAGGCTGGCACGCTAGAGCGGTCTAGGCCATGCTAATGGACCATATATCAACAAGTCCCCCCAATTCGATGTTATTGGTACGCGTCCAATGACATTGGACTGGACTTAGTCATATAAACCAGCAAGAGAGTCCCCAACGAGGCTGACAAGGGGGCGCCAGGCGAGGCTGGCGCGCCAGAGTTGTCTAGGCCATGCTAATGGATCATATATCAACAAGTCCCCCAGTCTGATGTTATTGGTACGCTGCCAATGAGATTGGACTGTACTTAGTCATATAAACCATGTGTCATCAAGTCCCCCTAGTCCGATCAGATCGGACTAGACAGAGCACCAATATGTCAAAGATTGAAAAGAAACGACCGAACCTTTCCAACGAGAATCGTGGCGATGCACAATGAGTCGGGCATGGGTTGGCTGAATGACCTTTCCTTGTTAGGAGTAAAATCCGGTCGATATGATGCAACGTAGATATTGTTGCAATCATGTAGAGCGAGGATGCTGATAATGCTATGCGGAGCGGGGCTGCTATGTGACAATAATGTCGATAGGGCGTCGGGCCAAGGTAGCTGAGAAGCGTAAGCTTGCCCTTCAGTCCCTAAGATTGTTATCCGATGCAACCATTGTTGTAGTTACGCACAAACAGAATGTCACCGATAACCATCTAACTAGATTCCCCCCAGTCTAATGTGGGTAGCATTGGTAGCCGGATCAGAATATGATGAATGACGCAAGGTTGCTGTATCAATACACGACGAAGTTGTTGGCATAATAAAAGGTAGCAAAACCCTTGTCCGATATGGATGTTGTCAAACTGATGACCTGTAAGGTTGTTGAATGTGATATATGTGGCAGAGATTCCGAGAGCTGGGTGATTGGGTTGCTAGCGGGGATCACGCGGTGAGACAATTGCCGAGAGCCAGGCAGCAGAGATGCTGATGGATACGTGGTGAGGCAACAGGTAGGGGTTGCGCAGCCAGACCATTTCCGAGAGCTAGGAAACAGAGATGCTGAAAGGTAGTAGGTAGCAGGGCCGCTGTCGGGATAACTTTTTTGTTGGAGAGTAACCTCACTATAGCACCATGCAATGTGGAGAATGCTTCATCGATCGTCCGAGCACAAGGGAACCATGATGACTGTGAGAAAGGAAACACCAAGGGTGAGGTGTTAGGCGTGGAATAGGCTTGTGATGCGCGACTTATGATGCGCAACGATGCGCTACTTATGATGCGCGAAGATGCGTGACTTATTTTTCACGGCTTAGAAGAGTAGATTTGGCTTAGCAGTCAGCAATCATGGAGATGTCACGCGGGAGAGCATCGCGTGGAACATATCGGGCTTAACTGTCAACAATTGTAAATATGTCACGCGGGAGAGCATCGCGTGGAATGGATCGGGCTTGACTGCATGCGGTCGTAAATACATCACGTGGGAAAGCATTGCGTGGAATGGATCGGGCTTGACTGCCAGTGATCGTAGATGCATCACGCAAGAGAGCATCGTGTGGAATCATGTAGGCAAAGGTTGCAGACCTTTGAGCCTCGTTGTCGGAGCATGCCGTTAGATGGAGTCGAGCTGAGAAGCCAGGCGACTCAAGGAAGGGGTGTTGAACCTCACATGCGGAGCTTGCCGCTATAATAGAGTCGGGCTGAGAAGCCAGGCGACCCAAGGCAAGGGTATTGAACCTCGCATGCAGAGCGTGCCGCTATAATGGAGTCGGGCTGAGAAGTCAGGCGACTCAAGGCAAGGTTATTGAACCTCGCATGCGGAGCTCGCCGGTGCAATGGAGTCGGGCTGAGAAGTCAGGCGACTCAAGGCAAGAGTACTGAACCTCGCATGCGGAGCGTTCCGCTATAATGGAGTCGGGCTAAGAAGCCAGGCGACTCAAGGCAAGGGTGATGAACCTCGCATGCGGAGCGTTCCGCTATAATGGAGTGGGGCTGAGAAGTCAGGCGACTCAAGGCAAAGGTGCTGAACCTCGCATGCGGAGCTCGCCGCTGTAATGGAGTCGGGCTGAGAAGCTAGGCGACTCAAGGCAAGGGTACTGAACCTCGCATGCGGAGCGTTCCGCTATAATGGAGTCGGGCTAAGAAGTCAGGCGACTCAAGGAAAGGGTGCTGAACCTCGCATGCGGAGCGTTCCGCTATAATTGAGTCACGCTAAGAAGCCAGGCGACTCAAGGCAAGGGTGCTGAACCTCGCATGAGGAGCTCGCCGCTGTAATGGAGTCGGGCTGAGAAGCCAGGCGACTCAAGGCAAGAACCTCGCATGCGGAGCGTTCCGCTATAATGGAGTCGGGCTGAGAAGCCAGGCGACTCAAGGCAAGGGTACTGAACCTCGCATGCGGAGCGTTCCGCTATAATGGAGTCGGGCTAAGAAGCCAGGCGACTCAAGGCAAGGGTGTTGAACCTCGCATGCGGAGCGTTCCGCTATAATGGAGTCAGGCTAAGAAGCCAGGCGACTCAAGGCAAGGGTGCTGGACCTCGCATGCGGAGCTCGCCGCTATAATGGAGTCGGACTGAGAAGCCAGACGACTCAAGGCAAGGGTACTGAACCTCGCATGTGGAGCGTTCCGCTATAATGGAGTCGGACTGAGAAGCCAGGCAACTCTGCGTAAGGATGCTGGGCCTTACATGATTAGGCGTAGCATCCTACAATCTATGTGGCTGGCCCGGGTGATCAGCTCGTGTTGATGTGTAATGACACCTGATGCTTTGCTGCATCATTAGTTGTAGTGGCTATTGGTGCCTCGCTCTCTTGGCTGTCTGTCGAGGGCTATGCGGCGATGCTACTTAGATCTGGATAGTGTAGATGTTGTCAAGTGGTGTGTAGCGAGACTGTTGTCGAGAGCTGGTCAACAAGGTTGCTGAGAATTGAGCATCGAGCTGCTAGCGATAGATGAGTAGCACGACCACTGAGAGATGGACAACGAGACTACCGAGGGTTGAACCACGAGGCTGCTCTTTCGATCTGGAATATTAATGTCGCCTCAAGAATGCACTATCATTCATAACATCAGCTCTTCATGCACTTTAACTCTGCTCCTTCGGAATAAAAATCATTTCTACATAGTGTCGTACCAACCCTTCTCCCCCCCCCCTTTTTTAGAGGAGGCGAATAAAGGGGAAGATGGATGCATAGTTACTGGAAACTGGACGACACATGTAACACCCCGAATTCAGAAGACCTAGAAAGGAATGGGAAACCTCAAAAATCAGAAGGCGACTCATCGAGTAGGTAGGGTGACTCGACGAGTAGGAGCGCGTTCCGGGTCGCGGGTTAAGTGACCTACTCGACGAGTCGGAGGACCGACTCGGCGAGTTGGTCAGGGTTTGGGAAACCCTAAATTCGGGACTTGGCACCCTATTTAATCATCTTATTCTCCTACTCTTGGTTCCATTCCCAACCCCCATTGTCCAGAACTTAACCCACGAAACCCTAGATCATTTGGTGAGTGTGTGAGCCATTCTTGAGTATTTTGGTGTTCTTGGAGGCTAGAAGAAGAAAAAGGAGATTGAAGGTTCAAGGAGGAACTTGTAGATCCAGCAACACCATCTCATTTCCATCATTTTCTGGTAATCAAGTCTTCATCTTGACTTATAGCTTCTTAGATTTATTTATGTCCACTTTATGAGAGTTTTGGTCCATGGAGCTTGATCTATGGGACAAGGATGTCCCAAGCAAAGATCCTTTCAGATCTGGGGTCCCTAAGAGTGGTTAAGGCATAAAGGTGCAAGCTTTATGCCATT